AGGCTAAAAAAATGAGCAGCTTTTACATTTAATTTCATTTTATGTCATGGCAAGTCGAGGCTGTGCTGAAGTAACGCTGTCTGTGGGATTTGCAGCTCCATGAACAGAATTTTGAGATCACCACTCTGCGAATAGACGTCGTCACCGACGGGCGGCACGCGGAGGTGGAGTTCACCACGGACTGGCACAAGGATGCTGAGAGGAGGGACCTCACTGTCAACTCCATGTTTTTAGGTAGATTTAAAAAACACTTACGTGGGAGAAGCAGTGGATTTGAGTTTTGTCACTGAGTTCTGTCTCTGTGTCAAAAGTCTGCACAAATAAATTAGATGATCTGGCAGACCAGGTCAAACCACACAACTTCTCGTTTCCAAGTGAGGGTGGTTCATTGTGCCAGCCACATTTGTAAATTGATATTCTGGTTTTTCGTTGTTTTCTAGGTTTGGATGGGACACTCTATGATTTCTTTAATGGCTATGAAGACTTGAAAAACAAGAAAATCAGATTTGTGGGGAAGGCAGCTGAGAGAATACAAGAAGATTATTTAAGAATCCTGAGATACTTCAGGTAAGTGGTTTTGCCTTTCCTTGATAAATAAACTGTATAAAGTTTCAAAAACATGCAAAAATATACCAGTGATGTAAAAAGAGTTGTAATTGTCATATTTCCTTTCCAACCTAAATGATTTTATGAATATAAGTGGAATAAGTTGTATAATTGTAAAAATTATTTTTAATTGTTTTTTATTTTGTTTTAATTGCTTTTAATTATTCTTACAGTTGTAAGAACAATTGTAAGTGTTCTAAACTAACATCCAGGGGTTTTATTTGGCAGATTTTATGGAAGAATTGCAGAGAAACCTGGAGATCATGAACCTATTACACTGGAAGCAATTAAAGAAAATGCCAAAGGCTTGGCTGGAATATCAGGAGAACGGATTTGGGTGGAACTGAAAAAAATTCTTCTTGGAAACCATGTCAATCATTTGGTTCAGCTTATGTATGAGCTGGATATTGCCCAGTACATAGGTAAAGTGAAATGAAGTTTGATTTCCTGTTCCTGTATCTTACACAGAAGGAATTTTGTGCCAAATGAGATCAAACTTGGCTTTACACAGAAATCAGATTTTATTTCTATCCTGTGCTAACACCTACTTTTCTTGTTAACACTTCTTTGCACTTTTTGTGTGTTTTTAGGGCTACCACTTGATGGAAATTTAGAGGAATTTGCCAGAGTCAGTAAAAACATCCAAAATCTGTCTCCAAAACCCATGACTGTCCTGACGTCCTTGTTCAAGGGGAAGGATGATGTCACAAACCTGGACCTGAGGCTGAAAATCTCCAAGGAAGAAAAAAACCTTGGCCTTTTCTTGGTGAAGCACAGGCAGGAGTTAACCAAAGGCTCAGGGCCAGAACCACTTAGACCATACCAGGACTTCCTGATGGATGTGAGTGGAGTTCAGACTGCTCCATCTGGGGCTTCACAGGGAGCTGAATTCATTGTGAGACATTCCTCAGAAACAAACCTGCTGTGTTGTAGCAGTTCTGAGCACCCTGTGCTCTGGAATTGCTCTGGAGCAATTTTTGGACTGATTTAAAAGTCAGTCAGGGTGAAAAATGTCACATTCAGTTTCTTGTGACCTTACCTGGGACTGGCAGTTTGCTGTGCTGTCCTGCTGAAATAGGAAACAGGAGCTGGACCTCAAGGAGAATTTGGCTTTTTTTCTGTGAAATTCAGCTGTGAATTGTGAATGGAAAATCAGTGCAATTCCTGGTGTTCTTCCCAAGGCAATTTTTAGGTGATTTTGAGGCGAATTTTTTGCATGATTTTTGGGATTTTTATGGTGATTTTTTAGGTGATTTTGGGTGATTTTTGGCATGATTTTTGGGGTTTTTATGGTGATTTTTGGGAGTGATTTTGGGGATTTTTACAGTCATTTTGAGGCGATTTTTATGTGATTTTTGAGGCGAATTTTTAGGTGATTTGGGGGATTTTTGGGGTGATTTTTGGGATTTTTATGGTGATTTTTGGAGTGATTTTGGGTGATGTTCCTTAGGCAACCTGGGATTTCTTCCACAGCACAGTGAGGTCATTTCCAGCTGCATTCTGCTGATACTGAGGGCAAGGACCCATCCCCAGGGCCAGGCCTGTCTCCCTCAGGAAAGGTGATGGATAAGGGATCACAGCTATTACCTGGCATTCAGGGAGTCTCCAAGGATCTCCCAGAGCCCCCAAGACTCAGTTTTAACACCTGTGAGGCAGGAGAGAGCCTTGCTCCCATAGTCCCAGCTTGGCCAAGGTCTTACCTAACAAGGAGTAATGGGAATAGCACAATGCTGAGCACACTTGGAGCTGTTTCATACTGAAGCCTCTCTTTTTTCCTTTTTTCTCCTAGTCTAGGGAAGCTAACACCAACTCCAAGATCTTTGAGCTCCTGAAGTACCAAGGAGAGGAGCAGCTTTTGAAAGAAATGCAGGAATGGACTGTGCCCTCCTTCCCTGTCAGTGGGCACGATCTCAGGAAGATGGGGGTGTCCTCTGGGAAGGAGATTGGAACAGCACTGCAGCAGCTGAGGGATGAGTGGAAAAAGAGTGGGTACCACATGGATAAAGAGGAACTGCTGAGCTGCCTGAAGAAGCTGTAAAGTGAATAATAACAGAACTGTTTGTGCCCTGATCTGAGTGGAACTGAGCTCCCAGGAAACTGAGCCTCTCACAGCCAACTGGGCATTTGTCACATTTAACATTTCTGTTACTAATTCCTAACTTCTGCAAGGAGAGGTTTCATTTTGTAATAATGTGAAACACTGTTTGCCAAATCCCACCTTCTCAACCTCTCTTTGCTGTTAGTGATAAATATTTACTATTTTATCATGACTTAGGGCACGAGAGCTGACAGCAAGATTTTTTTCCTTCTGATTGTCTATATCAGAAAAAACCCAAATCCCCCCCAAAAAAAGGTTGTTTGCATCCTCTAGATAAAATCATGGAGGGGTTTTTATGTGCCTGGGAGAATGTGTGGAAATAATGGGCTCTACCTTAGCTCTTTTTGTACTTAAAGCTGGATAACAGATGAAAATACTCACTCCAGCAGTTCCCAACAGCCTTGCCATGGAAAACCAGGCTGTTTTCTAGGACTGTTTTTATTTTCCAGAATTAGTTTTAGGTTAAAAGGGTGATTTGGCTGAGTATCATGAATTTTCAGTAGTTTTTCAGTAACTTATCACTGAGTAAACTAAATCCACAGCAAGCTGGTGAAGGTTCTACATTGTATTTTCAACTTCAGGTGTGAGACAAACTGTTAATGTTAATTAACATGAACAAGGGGAGATCCAGCTCCTTGTCTTGGGGATTTGGGGATTGGGAGCAGAGCTATTCCTGGGCTTTATGAATGTCTTCCTATCCCTGGGGTTTTTGGTGTGCTGTTAAAAAGTCTCTTGGAGCAGCTCTTGTGTGTATAAATCTTATTGCAGGTTGAACTTTTCCTACACAACCATGGTAACAAATAAAATCCTTTGGATTTCACTTTCCTTGGATATCATTTTGCAACACTAGATGGCAACACTGGAGCAGTGCTGGAAAAAAATCAGCATTTTGGGCTTTCACACAGCTTCCCAGCTGCCTTTGATTTTCCTGGAATGTCTGGTTCTTCAAGTGAATTCTCCTGAAGGTGCCTGGGAATTTGTGGGAGCCAGCGAGGGAAGAGGGAAAGTGCTGTTTGTTTGTAAGGCAAATCTCACAAGAACAGGATGGTGCTTAATTTAATGAGGTGATTAAATTGAAGCCTCTTAATTTCTGGAACTACTGAAATCTTGGGAGGGAGTGACAAAACTCAGGGCTGTAGGGAGTCCTTTCAAGATTTCACCAAAGTGCAGCTTTAGGGCAATGGCTGTGGAGATGGAAAATATGAACACTTTTACCCAACATTGCTGTCAGGAGAGAGGATTTGAAAGGAGAAATCTTGAAATTTATGATCTTGGCATGGACCAAATGGATACTCTGGACAAAGTTTAGCAGGGAGGTCTTCCCATGAGTGCTGAGCTTCAGTTCCAGCTGTTTGCCAGCCCTGAGAGGGGCTGGGTGTGCCTAGCTCCAATCCTGCTCCCAGATTTAATCACTGGTTTATGGCTAAAGGATTTTCAGCTCCCAGGGAACCTTTGCACAACTTTGTCCCCCAGGATTAAGGATGACAACCCAAATCATGCATATGAACAGCAAGGAATGATTTATTTAAATTGATGCTGGGAATGATTAGCCTGAAAAGACACTAATCAGAATTATTTACTACACAGTATAGATGCTGTAGAGTGCACTATTAAATCAATCATTTCAAAGCCAGTTTAATTCTTAGTAAATAGAAACTGATGGGTTTATTGGAGATTATTTGGCCAAGCTGGTCACTAAAAGCAGGGGGAAGCCCATTTCCTCCATCCCTCACTGATAACACAGAGGATCCTGTTACAAAACAGCAAAACCAGATTATTCCACAAGCACCTTCATAACCGCCCTGCTTGGAATTCAGTGCAGGGAGCACCTGTGTTAAAGATCAGCCCCTCCTTGAGGTTTCCCATTGGTCTATTGAGCATTTCTGTTTATCTTCAAGAAACATTAACCCCTAGGAAAATCAAAGACATGAAATAAAAAAAATTAATGTATTTTAGGCAAGCAGTGCCAGCTTGAGATCTGGAAAAAGGCTGGGTTTAAATAAACTCTCCTTTTTACAGTATGAGCTATTTAAATAGCAAATGGGGAGAAAGGAGATGAAGTTTGATACACACATGGTCAAAGAAGTTCTCCAACAGATTATTTGACTAATTAAATGATACAGTGGTTTTAATTACCTGACAACCTCCCCTCTCTCCATGTTATTCCTTATCTTCTCTGCCACGGGCCAGTCGAGCCAGCACAGACTTGGAAATGAAACTTTCACTTTTTGCAGCCAAAAACTCATCATAAACTCAAATGTTTCCTTTTCCCACCCTGACAATCAGCAAAACCAAGTGAGTTTTGAAACAAATTGAATTTTATTCTTTGCAAATATTTGCAAGCCACAAGATTTGTCAGAAAAGTTGTCCCAAAAGGCAGAGAGAAGGAAGAGTTAAAGCAGAGACTGGGCTACCCCTGGAGCAGTTCACAGAGCAATTAAAGGTGACAAAGAGAGGAACAAATGAACTGCAACGCATCCAAAAAGAGCATTAATAAAAAACAAATGAGTATCTGAAATATTTTAAACCCAGTGTACAAGTGATTCTACCTATTTGTCAAAATGAACCTAAAATAAATGAAAACTTGCAAAGTTACAGGCTGTGATTGGGGTGTTGGTGATGCTGCAGTGGTGGCTTGCCAATGAGTGAGTGCTGTAAATCCTGTGATCCCTCAGTCTGACCACTGGGGTAATTAATTCCTGCAGGAAGTAACTCAGCCAATCAAGGGGGTAAATGTAAATATTCATCAAATCTGGTTTCCTTTGATTACCTCTCTGAGCAGTTGCTGTCTGTTTTTCCATAATGATGTTCCAAATTTTCCCCTAATTCCCACCAACAGTTTTCTCTCCAAAACAGAGAAAAGCATGGAAAATATGAAGCAGTGTAAGGAACCATCCCCAGCTCACACCCTGGAGTGCTGGATGCTCCCAGGAAGGACTGGATTCACCACCACAGGACTCAACCTGGGAACTGTCATGGACTCAGTATAGCAAACACAGATTTAGCACAAGGAACAGCATCATCAACAATGAAATGTAATTAGTGTTAATTTACTCCTGACTTACCTCGATTATGTTAGTTTACATTTGACTATACACACAAAACACCAAAAAAATGCTTATTCTGGATTCAAACACTGCCATTTTTAATTGAGAATCCAAAAGACTCAGCCAAAACCCCGAAGAACTGAACCTTTGGAAGTTCAGTGACAGCTGAGAAAATCCTTTTGAAATTGCCCTTGCCAGCCCCCAGTGAATGCTCACACCAAGGCAGCAGAAGGTGCTGGCAGCACCCTCCAACTTCCTGCCACCACCAAGCCCCACTGAGGGCCACAGGAGCAACAGACAGGAGGGACTTTGAGGGGAAAAAAAAAGAAAAATCCAAATATCCAGCCCAGATGTGTTGGGTGAGGGAAAGCCAGGCCTGGTTCCAGTGGATTCACAAACACAGAGCATGCAGTCTCCCTCTCACACCAGTGCCTGGCTTTCCAAGCTTACAATGAATCATTATCAACACCCAGAGTGTTTTCTGGATGAAAATAAGCCATCATCATCCTTTGTTTGCTCAGAGCCACATCCCAAATATTGCTTTTCACAGTTCACTGCCACGTCAGGGCACTGCACGTGGAACTGAGCACGGAATTAAAGGTGTCTAAGAAGAACAGAAGCAGCACAGAGGTAGAAAGTTTCAAAGAACTAAACCTGAGTTACACAATTAAACTCTACATACCTGGCATGACAAATACCCAGCAGCAATCCATGGTTTGGGGTGTTTTTCCAGCTGGAGGTACCACACTGCCATGGGAATCAGCTCCTGGTGTGCCAGGCTTGGCCTTGGCCCTCAGCTGAAGTGATCTGTCCTTGCTACACCTGCCTGGAGCCTGACAGAGAACAAGCAACCAGTGCCTCATGTCTTAGACTTGACTAATTTAACATCACTGTGAAGAAATAGAGAGTGAATGATATAAGCTTCACAAGAAAAATAAGTGTTTATGTGCACAAGCACTAAAAAAATCTCCATTGCCATCACCAAAGTGCATTCTGAGAGGAGAAAAAACAAACAATAAATCAAAACCTGCCCCAGATTGGCACCCAATTTGTGGAGCACAGACAAAATAAAGACCAAACTAAAAATGAAGAAACCTCCCCAGAAAAAAGCACTGCCTGTATTCCTATTTTATTTGGAAACTTTTGCTCTTTATAAGGTGATAATGTGAAATTTTACTTTATGATCTTAAATGTACAATAATAATGTAATAATTAAAAGAGATTTTTCCTTCCCTTTGTCACAAGAAGTACTATTTAAAAATCACCTCAGTGGGGTGCTACAGAGTCCGTCCCAAACCCCTGGACACCTCCACTGGTAAATTAACCAGGAATAATTTGGGGAAGTGATTGACAATGCTGTTTACCCTCTGTCCTGTGCACTTCCTATCAACAGTTTAAAATTTAAGACTTCTAAAGTCAAATGGACTAAACAGATGAGACAGCTTGTAAGGAACAGACACTTCCCCATGGGGTCCATCCTGGGAGGCAGCTGCAATTCCAGCTTCTGCACATTCCAGCACTCAGAAACGCTCAGGCTGCTTCCCTCTTCCACAGTTATTCAGCAAAAAAGCTGACAAACAGCACAAGCAGCAAACCTGAAGGACTTAGAGAGCGAGAAACAGGGATTCTCAGCAAACCACGTGTAAGTGTGTTAGGCCAACACTCCACAGCAGGTGGCTGCTATCCAGCATCCCAGGAATACCGCAGCAATCAGACTCTGCTTATTGGGATTTTAGTTTGGTTTTAGTTTCCATCCCCCTTCCTTCACCGCGAGTGGGAATTACACGAGTCCAGTCTCAAGGTGCGTCCACGTGGATTTCCTGGTGGACCTTCACTCCTGGTGTCTCCTGGCACCCCCTCTGCAGGAACAGCACGGGACGGCTCCCTGGGGTGCCGGCGTGGCTCCCGGGGTTCCCGGCTGAGGAAGCAGGAGCGGCACTGAGCGGGATCCCCGGGGCGTCACAGGCACAGCAGCGGCGAGCGGCCGCGCTCCGAGTCCTCGGCGTCCTCGGGCATGCGGGGCAGCAGCGCCGAGCGCGTCAGCCCCCAGAACCGGGGAGGGCACAGCTCCTTCCTGGTGGCCGTGAACTTCCAGCCCATGTGGCTGCCGCAGATCCTGCACTGAGCGATGGTCCAGGCGTACCTGCCCAGGGCACAGCAACGCCAGCGTGAGGGAAAAGCCTTTGGAAAAGCTTCAGCAGGCAACGAGCCCCAGCTGGGCTTGGGTGACAATCCCAAAGTGGGTTTGGGTGACAACCCCTAGCTGGGCTTGGGTGACAATCCCTAAGTGGGTTTGGGTGACAACCCCTAGCTGGATTTGGGTGACAATTTCAAAGTGGGTTTGGGTGACAACCCTCAGCTGGGCTTGGGTGACAATTTCAAAGTGGGTTTGGGTGACAACCCCCAGCTGGGCTTGGGTGACAATCCCAAAGTGGGTTTGGGTGACAACCCCCAGCTGGGCTTGGGTGACAATCCCCAGCGTGAATTTGGGTGACAATCCCCAGCTGGATTTGGGTGACAACCCCCAGAGGGATTTGGGTGACAATCCCCAGCTGGATTTGGGTGACAATCCCCAGATGGATTTGGGTGACAATCCCCAGCTGGATTTGGGTGACAATCCCAAAGTGGGTTTGGGTGACAACCCCTGTTGGTAAACAATGTTCAGACCACATTCCACAGCTATCAGATAGTTAATTGTTTACATTTCTTTTCTGAGGCTTCTCAGCTAGAATGGGAAAAAAATCCTAGCAAAGGATTTTTCATAAAATATCATAGCTACAAACCCCCAGCTGGATTTGGGTGACAACCCCCAGATGGGTTTGGGTGACAACCCCCAGCTGGATTTCCAAAGAATCCTAAGGAATCCAGTGCCCAGTTCCCATCTAAAACCCTGCAGAGCTTCAAAAAATGACAACAAAACCCCCACAAACATCCCACCCCCAAAGCCCTCTATTGCCTCTTCAAAAAGAAGAAGCAACCAAAGCTTTTTGTTGTCCCAGAAATGCCGAGAGCCCTGAAGAGGGGTCACAAAACTTCTCAGAGTAAATTATTTAATGGCAATGAAAGTGATTTTTGCCCTGCTTTTCAAATAACAGGGACTGCTGCACCTCTCACAGCAGCAGAGCTTTTCTCTAACAGTTTTATGATGCAGAACATGAATATTTCAAAGCCATCATAGAAGAGCTGAGAAAACACAAAAGGACGAGCAATATTAACTCCAGATATTAAAAGTCTCAAATTTTCTTCAGGGAATGTTAAAATGTGTGACAGAAGTGCCAGACATCCTCCAAGTCATTGCTCAGTACTCTGTGATATTCCAGGGAAAGAATCCTGGATGCAAGACTTGTTATTTATTTGGCAAACTTTTACATCTAAACATTTAATTCTGTTACTGTCTCAGAGAGGCAGACTCATTATTTATTATTAAAATAAAATCAAAGCTAATCAGATCAATACAAATGTTATTAATTTTTAATTTAATGTAACATTTATTCAGGTTTTAGATATAAAAATGTATTTCAGTAGAGTAAACACATTTATATATTCTGTGTTTCACTTGCACTAAAGCTGTGTGAAAACAATTCTGAAAACAGTTGTACTTTAAACAAAACTACACACAAAGAAACTTCCAGACAACTTGGTTTAAACAGTTTAAATTCTAGACTATGTTTTAAAATTGTAATATTTCCCCATTTAAAAGTATTAAATTCTGCAATATTTTAGGTGAGTTTTCCATTTTATTGTGCACTTTGATTAAGTCTAAATTTACTTCCTTATTTTTTATATGAGCAAAATGATGACGTGTGCCAAAAAAACTCAATATTTACTATTCCACCCTCCCAGAAATAGCCAATTTGGGTAATTTTCTAATAAAATATTGCTGCTCTTACCCAGGGAACCAGCTGTGCTCTGTGGAGGGGCGTCCACTGAGACTCAGGTTGGTGGCTTTATATACAGTGAGGGTTTCATGGATGTATCCATGGGGATTCACATAGGCTGCCATGGGCCCACACAGGGATAAGCTGTAACACAAAAGGAATTTTGTCAGAGAGCAAGGAAAAATTAAAAAAAAAAAAATTGCCAGCTAAGCTTAAAATATTTCAACAGAGCAAAAAATCCCCATTTTTTGTAGGGGGAAAAAAAAGTGCCTTCAATTAGGGCATCAAAAACTGAAAGAAAATAGATGCTGATTTAAAATAATTTAGAAAATAGATGCTGATTTAAAATATCATTGCTCAAATTTGCTTAGAATTGCAGAAAATACACGACAGACTCATCCTGTGTGTTACTTTAAACAGCAAGTTCCAAGAAAAGCAAGGAAAATGTAACTTTAAAAGTAAGCAAAAATGTTCATTTATTGCACCAACTTCTCAGCACCTTGTGTTAGAAGTTCATCATATTGACACAGCAGGAATTGTGGTGTCTGCAATCCCTTATTTGATTAGAAGAGAAGAAATGGCTTTTAATTACCCCATCAGCTCCTTATCACACTGATAAAGAAAAACTGTGGGGAGTCTTTGTTAACCCAAAGCATCTTTTAACCTTCCCATTATCAGAGGGGATGGGCTGGTGGGAGTTCATGAAGATTAAAAGCAGTGACAAGGCTGACAGAAGCAGCAATTATTTGGGAAATGTAATTGTTGTTAAACATGGAGATATTGTACAGGGCAAATAAAGAATGGGGCCAGCTATCAGGAATAACCTTCAATTCTTCAAAGAAAACAGGGATCACAACATTTATTGGCTTACATAGGAACCTTCCCTGCATGCCAACATCCTGAGAGCCTGTTTACATCCCCTAATTAGTGCATTTTAATTGGCTCTTGTGGCCTGTTGACACATAAATGAAGTGCTGAGAAATAAAAGTTGGGATATCAAAAACTTTATTCAGAAATACCAGGATGAAAAAGTCTTTATGTGACACATTTATATTTCAAATTGTTCAGTGTGAGGTGCTGGGGGTGTGGCATAACACCAATTTCTCTTCCAATACACCTGGAAATGCTGAGATTCCCAAACTTTTTATTAAAAAAGCTCAAATATAAACTCTCTATAAATATTTACTTTAATTTTATTGGAGCTGTGGCAAACCCAGCAGTTTTAAGACTCATCCCAGCTTAATCTGCTTTGCTGGGCTCGTGTTTCTGACCTAGGAGCTGCCCAAGATGAAGAGTAATAAACTCACCTGAATATTTCATTCTTGGTAGTTATTTCTGTGTCTTGGCATTGCTTACAACAGAGAGATGTGCACTGGGAAGGAGAAACAAAGAGAGTAATTTCATTAATTTCCAGATGCTTGTCAGCAGTGGGAAATAATAAAAAATGTCTCTTCCTTTCCATCAGAGCAGACTTTGGACCAATTGTTTTCCAGTTACTGATGTGGGATATTTTTTCTACACATTTCACTTATTTAAACATTAATTATTATCTAAAAGACATAATAATTTTCATATCATCCCCTCACAGAAAGGTCCACACACAGAGAATTGGATCTGACTCCACAAAGATAATAAATGAGCCAGCCTTTTAAGGTCTCTAAAGGCTAATTTAGAAAAAAACAACCTTTGCTCTTCTGCAATACAGCACAGAAAAGGCAGATGAGACAAATGCAATCACTAAGTCTTTCTTAAATTTGAGGGTACTGTAGATCAATGGGTTTAATTTCCTCACAAAAATAGGTAAAACATATTGATCTCTCTCCTGGAGATTATAACAGATTAATCCATCTTCTACATTTTCTACAAAGCAGAACCAAACAATTCATCACTGACACTGCCCAGAAAAGCAGCATTTAAATCAGCTCAGCAGAACACTCCCATTCATTTTCAGCACGTGCATTACTGTACATCTTTTTAAGGGTAACACCTGTGAAATTCCCCCAAAACGAGCCACAGGATTTTGGAATAAAATGCTGCACTCAGGGACAGTGCTCTTAAACCTGGAGTTTGTGCTCCTGAGCCCCCTGAGCTGTGACACCACACACTCAAAGCACTCTCTCCTCTGCTCCCTTCAGAGGTTTTTGCTGGATTTCAGCTGCTCCAGCTCCTCCCCTGGAGGTGCCCCTGGTCCTGCCCCACTCTGCTCCCTGGAGATGAGGAAGGACAAGAGCTCTGCTGCCCAGATCCTCTCCAGCCCCCTTGAAGCTGCCCTGGCCTCTCTCTCCTGCCAGGGACCTTCCCCACCTCACTCCCAGGCTGCACTCCAACTGAGTCCAATTCTCTCATCCCACGGCTCCACTTCCAAACCTCTCTAATGACTGTAATTAGCACTCCAAGTGGAATTCACAGTGCTACACCTGGGAGTCAGGCACACTCCCTAAAATAAGCTTTGGTAACTGGGTTAACAACAGGGCAAGCTGATAAAAACACAATATTGTTGATAAAAGTACAATGTAATTCACTGGTATCAAGGGAAAATGGATCAGTTTTATTATTGGAAATTACATTCTGAACAAGCCAGAGCATCCTAAAGAACTCTGGATAAAAAGGTCTGGATTGGATTAAAATGCTGCTAAATAAACTGTAAATAACCACAATACACTCCCCATTCTGACACTAAGACAGAACAGCTAAACACATTTACAGACCAAAATGTCACAGGATGAAGAAGAAAACACCTTTTGGATATAGGCTAAAAAGCAACTTTAACTTGAATTTATGAGGCTAATTTAAGTTTTCCTGTCTCTTTGGAATTTATGGAACACACAAAATTACTGGACATGAACAGTTCTCAACAGCACTTGAGTATCAGGGTGTTTTCAGAGTTTCAACTCAGAGAAGACAAGTGAAATTTAGTCTGACTACAGCCTCAAGCAAACACCTGCCCATTTTGTCTCAGAATTTGGAAGAGATGTTTTCTGTCTCCTTTCTTTACATTTCTGGTGCATGAACATGGGAAGAGGATCACTATTAAAATGACCCTCAGGTTCATTTTTCCCCAAAAACAGGCAAGAATTTAATGACACTACTTTTTAGGCAAACAGGCAAAATTCCCACTGCTGTTTGTCCACTAGAGTGTTATTTAGAAAATATAAATTATTACAAAGAACTGTACTACATACAAATAGAACATTTAGAACATTACAAGGTCATGGCAACGGAAAGAAAGGAAAGGAAACAAATTTCTGAAAATCTTAACAAGGAATTGCATAAGAAATAAATACATGTCTTTTGTAAAAAAAAATCTGTTTAGCCCAATCTTTAGATTTATGCTCAATACTACAAAGATTTTGCTACAAAACCCACAAATTTCCATGCCAAAATCATGCTGGATCGTGGTGTCAGTGTGGGGCTGTGATGGTTGTTAACAACACTGGACTTCTAGCACCACCTCTTGGCTAAAAATGTGCTGGGCCACACTGAAATACTTCTAACAAAAGCAAATATAATTATATAATATATATTATTAATATAATATAATATAATATAATATAATATAATATATCACTAATATAATATAGTATTTACACGTTATAAATATAAAATATTATACAAATTATATGTTCTATATATAGATTATATTATATATTTTATATATATATTATATATATATAGATTATATTATATATATTATATTACATACTGTATATTGTATCTTCTGTATTATATATTATACATCATATGTTTTTTCTTGCAGCCAAACATAATCCAGCACTAAGACATCATTTTCCTTTCGAGCATAATTTTGAAAAAATAACAGAACACCCAAACTCATCTCTGGAAGGATCAGCTGGAAATTCCATCATTTCTGGAAGAGACTGTAACAGTCCCTCCTATTTTTTGGCAATTTGATGGCAAATAAAGAAGAAGCACTCACTTTGTTCATGATATCCAGCTCACAGCGGAGCCTCTGCACAGCACTGCCTATTTTGAGCAACTGGATACGTAAAGCATCATCAATGGGCAGGCAGGCAGCAACTCTGTAAGAAAAATCTAGAAATGAGAAAGCAGCAGGTCTGTTAGAATTAACAGAGAAAGAAATCCAAGTGTTTCTATTTACTCTACCACAAGTAATTATCTAAGCTGTGGTCTCTTAAGAAATTAAAAAAAAATTAAAACTGTGGGTTCATAAAAGCTCGTACCTACTGGGTTTGATGGAAGAGATTCATCTTTAAGGTTTTCATCCCACTCATGGAGCTGCCTCTTGACTCTCTCCATCAAGGTTTCCTTTTGTTGGAAGAAAAGCCTAATTTAAATACACAGGTATTGCTGTTTTCTTCTTAGAAAAAAAAAAAACAAAAGGGAAGCAAAATGTAGAGTAAGCTCTTTTCCCTAAGTGGACAGCAGTTTTTAATTGAAGAATAATTAAAGAATCACTTTGAAGCTGCATGTTTTAACTGGTTTTGCTCTGAGACAACACAGAAGGAACCAGAATCTCTTTATCCCTCCCAGACATTTGCCCTAGGAAGGAGGGAACAAGCACAGTGAGGGAAGCCCTTCCTGATCTTTTCACTGGATATAAAATGCTGTAAAATGAAAATTATGAGCCAATAAAATTAAAGCTTTTCTATTATCCCATACTTAGATATTACAACTATAAAGCTCTCTGCAGGTTATTTAAGGGTGAACTTACAGCATCATAGAGAGAGTAGAGCCAGGGGGGCCAAGATGTCAAACTTGCACAGTGGAACTTCCTCTGAAACCAAAGCCACAAATATTTATTCTTTAACAAAAGCAGATTTTAGGGACAGCTTTTTTTGAAACAAATAAAACAGGGGAGACAGACCTGATTATTTAAAGATACAAGAAATTATCCTCATCAGGACCAGCACTTCACTGTGAAGCTTCCAAACCCCTTTTCAGATGCACTGAGGGCTAAGCCTTCTGAACAGGACAATACTTGGATTTTATCACAAAAGCTGTCTGTGCATTAGAGGTATTTCTGATGTTTAGTAATAAAAAATTATGTCTTTCAAAAGTGTGTGCATCTGAAATGGAGACAGTTGAAAATTTAAGTGCTATTAACAGTGCATCTGTTCCTAAGTCTCCACCAGCTGTCCCTGGAACCACCAAATTTCCACCAGTGTCATGTCATTTGTTTAATTAAGCAATTTTCTCCAGTGATTTCTGAACACAGAAATTGAGAGCTTTAGTTAATAAAAGTCTAAAAAGCAGCACACAACATAACTACATTGCTTTTCAAAAGAGGAGCTCATATTGCAAATATGTACAAATTCAATTTTCATCTCCCCCTTGAGAGCAACTCTCCTCATTTACAAATGACACCAGCAGAGAGATGGAGGTCAACAGGACAATTGTCCTGCTCTGCATCCCAGGTTTTCCTACAGTGGGTTCATTTCATTTCAGCTTCACCTGACAGTCAGCCTTGGGAAGGGATTTCCACCCCACAGCCCAGAGTTTCTGGGCTCATTAACTCACACGATCTTGGTCAGGAACTCTGAGAATCAAGAGCTCTTTGTTATCAATGAGTTTTTAAATTGATTTTGAGGGTACAAGAGTTCAAAACCGTTAAAGAAAAAAGCAAATCCAAACATGAGTCGAGTTAACAGAACTGTATTGATTTCTGGACGTAGTTCCAAAGATCTCTACGGAGACAGAAGATTTCAAAGTAACTTTTCTGTGTCAATGACCAAAACAACGGAAAAAATAATAAATACAGAGATAAACTGGCACAGGGTGCCCAGAGAGGCTGTGGATCCCTGGAAGTGCCCCAGGCCAGGCTGGACAGGACTTGGAGTAACCTGGGATAGTGTCCCTGCCCGTGCATGGATGGGCTTTAAGGACCTTCCCAACCCAAACCACTGTGGGATTCCATGAAAAGCAGGATGATCTGCCTTCCCTGCTGTGCCTCCTCCTCTGCAGATGGAGCTGGACACTGATTCTCAAGACACCATCAGAAATTCAGACAAAATATACAAAACCAGAATAACCAAAGCTGTAGAACAACTTGTCACCTTCTGGTACTTCTGCCACCACTGCCTGATGGCTCTGTCCTGCCAGGAAGTGGGTTTGGAAGAGGGGAGCACGTGGGACCTGCTGAGAGACTGCAGCTGCACTGCTGACATGGTGGGAGGCAGCACTCGCTCAGGCAGGATTTGTACTTTAGCCTGCTGGATGCTGAGGAAGGAAACAAAAAGATGAGGTGTACACATATTTTGAAAATGTTTTTTCTAATACATGCATTTCAAAAAATGGATTTTACTGCTTATGGCAACACAGGCTGGTGCAATGGATTAATCACTCCACAGTCCTAGAGAATTTAAACAATCCATTCCATCAGAACTTTTTTATTTTATAGCACTACAGATCTGTTTGGATTGTGGTGGACAGAAATACAGACAGATTGGCAGTGGCAACACAGCTGAATGTTCCATAATCTCAGCACTATAGATTTAGATTTTTGTCTCCTCAAGTTACTTTTGGTACAAATAATCAGCTCTTCCATCTCAATACCTCAGTTCAGCTGAAATGCACTTGGCTATCTTCAAGCCACAAAAGCTTCTGTGCTCAGCCAGAGGTCAGAATCAGCAGAAACAGGATACAGACACTGATCAGATTTTAATATCCCAGCATCAAAGGTCACCTTTTCCACAAAGACCTCAGCAAATGGCTGAGGCTACTAAGAATGCTGTCCAGCAGGAAAGACTTCATGTTTTATCAGGATTATGCAGCAGAAATCCTGAAATATTGAGGGTGTGTCACTAATGACAATTATTGAGGGGTGTGCCATTACAAAATTTCTGATTTTCTCCATAAGGACAGCACTGAACTGGTAACTTAAAATAAATGATAAGATTATGTTGTGTCAAAAGCACTCAGAAATCAGAAACACCAAGAATTATGGAAATGTTCTTCTTGCTAAGGAGCTCTGGACAGTGAGTTCCCAGTAACAAAGCTGCTCCTGCTGCTGTTGTTGTCCAAGCACTGCCACCGTGTGTCCAAGCAGGGCTTTTCCTAAGCTCTGACATTCAGAGTCTGTTATTTGGAACCAAATGTTAGAGAGCAAACTGCACAAGTATTCTTCATTGCTTCAGCTGCAGGTCACAAAACCACAGAAATGCTGCTCCCAGGCCTCCTCCCAAAGCAATGCCACTATGCTGAATTGCAGGATACAGATGAGGAGCTCTAGATTTACAGATTTGGAGTAATGCTTCACAAGCCTTGCAGAAAATATGCAGAGGCTCTAGAAATTGTGCTAAGAATTGTCACACCCTCCCAGATCAATGCTGGAGCCTGGACCCCTGGCCATGGTGCAGGGCATGGTGCCAAGGAGCTGAAAATGAAAGAAGACTCAGCATGTTCTTACTGGGTGTTCAGGATATTGATCACTTTTAGAAATGGAAAAAGGCATTAATATGTTAAAGCTAGTCAGAAGAGCCTCTAAATATCACAGCTTTCAGATGGGAAGAGAGAAAATAAGAGCATACCCCTATGAAAGTAGAGCACAGAATTAACTGCATCATTTTCTTACCCATCTGACTGTGTTCGTATTTCAAGCACCTTGAACCTCTGTCTTCCTATTGCTTTCACCTTGACTGTTTCAACTCCATATTCCTGCTCTTCTCTGTAGGCATAGATTTCTGCTGTCGTTCCAAAATGTGCTTCCCTCTCATGTGCATTACTAAGAGTAACAGAATTAAAGATTAATTCAATTAATTAACCCACTCCAAACAGCACTGCTCATTCAGACACCACTCTGTCTGCACTGACTGTACATGATTGGTCTGATCAAAAAAGCAATTTCTGGTGAAATACCTTTAATTAATCACAACAATCATTTTTCCATTATAAAGCAATTTCTCTTGTTTTGGTTGGTTGGGTTTTTTTGCCAGGAAACTTGATAATATTTTGGGGTCTAGATGTGACATTGTGGGAGCACAGGGATCACCAGTGTGTCAGCATTTCAAATGCAGACACTGAAAGCACTGAAAGCACACATTCTTTGGATTGACTTCATAACAGGAACTGTTCCCACCTCCCACACAATTAATCCATAGTAAATTGCAGGGGGAAGAGGGAGGAACATTCCCAACTTCTTCTGGCACTAATCAGCTTTTCTCTTCTCCACTTTTCTATCACCTCCTGTCTCTCAACTCCACTGTGAAACATTTGCCAGTGCTTGTTAGTTCACACACAAAACAAGCAACAATACAGCTCTCAAAACAAGAATGACTTCCACATTTCAGGTCAAGGCTTGTTCTTTAACAAGATGGAACAAACAGTTACTGAAAAGAAGAAGATGCTCAAACAAGGACGCAGACCAGCACTTGCTGTTCCTCCACACAAACACGAGATGCTGTCAAGCACCTACACTGCCATTACATACTGGAAGACAATTTCTGTTAAACAATTCCAGCTTGTTATCGAGCACAGAACTGACGCAACCATCTGCTTTTGCTTTAGTATCCACAGAAACCGTGCTAAAAACATGCTGCACACACCAGCAACCCGCCCGTGGCTTTTACCTGTATGCAAGGACAGCAAAGGTTCTGTCTTTCTGAATTAAATTCCGCACCATGCTAACCTCTTGGGGGCGGAAGAGCTGCAGCGGCAGCGTCTGGCCGGGGATCAGCATCACCATGACCCGGGGCAGCACGGGGATCACCTGGCAGCTGTCGTCGTCGTGCACCGTCCTGCCGTGGAACTCCTCCATGTCCGAGCCCAGGTACTGCAAGGAGGGAAGTCAGGGAAGGGGGGCGGTCAGGGAGGACACGGACACCACGGGGAGCACAGGCATGGAGCTGCTCTGGGGTTGTTCAGCCTGCAGAAAGCTCCAGGGTGATCTAATGTGGCCTTCCAGTACGTGAAGGAGCTAAGGGGAAGATGGACAGAGATTCTTTCCAAGGCACGGACACAGGGAATGGCTTTAAACTGCCAGAGGGCAGGGATGGATGGGATATTGGGAAGAATTCCTCCCTGGGAGGGTGTGCAGGCCCTGGCACAGGGTGCACAGAGCAGCTGGGGCTGCCCCTGGATCCCTGGCAGTGCCCAAGGCCAGGCTGGACAGGGCTTGGGACAACCTGGGATAGTGGAAGCTGTCCCTGCCCAGGGGGTGCCCTCTAAGGTTTTTCCATCCCAAACCATTTTATGATCTTATGATTCTGTGAAAATAAAATGAAGTTTGTGGCTTAAGAATATTACACTAAAACTATACAAGCCCCATGCAAATCCCTTCAGGATATACTTAAGGGACAATATATAAAAACATACCGTATGTGATGTGGGCAAACTGGTATCAAAATTAATGATGTTTGGCTTCTCAGCTTCTTTACTATCTTGGTCTTCCACTTCCATTTCATTGTCATCCTCTTCCTCACTCTCTACTAAGAAACACATACAGAATATTGTATAGGAATCAATCAGCAAAGACTGAGATACTGAAAAATCCCGAGAAACAGGGAAAATTCATTCAATATTCCCAGGCTACAGCTTTGCACAGGGAAACAAACCAGAGAGAAATAATTTTCTTGTTGTTACAGCAAAATCATCATGCTACAGAAAGGGTCAAAAGCTGGTAATTTATTTCTGAAAGCCTACAGAACAGCTTTCCTTGGAAGAAAACAATAAACAAAAGCTGTCAGTTTAGGTTTTCACTACAGTGGTGCTTCCTTATCTCAGCTCTAAAGGTTTTCTGTCTGCACACCAGGATGCCAGATCACTTCATTCCTTGCAGGATGCTGACTAAAGTGTCTGAAGCTGCACAAACACAACAATCAAACTGCAAGTGAGTAAGAAGCAATGGGAAGCTCCGTGCTCACGCAGAGTCACTTGCTGGTATTTTAGACAATTTAATTGCTGTCAGCCTCTGCTGTGTGCACACCAAACACAAACCCAGCAAAGGCAACTCCTGAGGGTGCCGATCACAAGACTCTGAGGGATTTCAGATACAAAACAGCATTTAAAAACTACTGCTTCCTTCCCATTCCTCAGCCAATCCTAAAGTAATTTTCAGGCAAGAGGACAATGAAATAATCAGTCACTGCATTAACTGACCCTATTTCTTTGAACACAAACATTATTTATACAGCATGTTATGCCTAAACTACACGTTAGCATAAACCAGTCTCCAGGATTCTTACACCAAGAGCTGCTGGGTAATGGATAATCCCAGTGGTGCTGAAAAACATCATTTAGACCTTGAAAGCTATTACAAGATGAGGAAAAAAAAATTTACAATAGCCAGTCTAGTTGCCTGCCTTTGCAATTAATATCTTCTTTAAAAATAGTCCAGAGTTGAAAATATAAAAAGTGGAGGGGTCCTCTCATCCTGAAGGATTCTGCAGGGAAATCTCAGAAAAAAACCAAAAAAAGATACTACAGAAGCAAAGAATTTTCCTTCAGAAATGGGAGCACCACCAATTTCACTATTTCTGAGAGTGAGAGTACAAGAGAATAGTGCAGAAGATATCAAAAGCTGATTTTAGAGAACCTTTTTTCCCCTCTTTGCCCTCCAGACACATTTGTTAAATGCTCCCACAAAATGTTTAGCCACTGGTCATATTTCTGCTTCATCTCACTTATGTTTTTTTTTAAATAGTTCACAGTTTACAGAACCTGCTCTTACAGATCCATCCTATACTGGATTTATCTCAGCAAGAAATGATCCAGCACGACAGGAAAGGAGGTTACAGACTCTCTTTGGTATTGTACCTAATTACAGCCCTTTCAGCAATGAGACACCATCTGCCTAATGACTGTTAAAAATACTCCACATCTATATGAAATTTATAATATTCAATTAGCAACCCTAACCACGAACAATTACAAAACGTTTAAGATGTACAAAACAGACACTATTTTGCTTAGTTTGACGGAGAGGAACAGCAAGAAATTTTTGTTTGGTTCCGGGGCATCGCTGCAGGATGGAGAAGGGGAAAAAATAAAATATTCTGATTTTCCCATGTGCTCCCATCCGGCTGCATCCACCATTAGCAGTTTTACCAGGGAGAGGCTGTCCCACTTGTTTTTCTGAACGCAGAAGGAATTAGCAGCAGTTGATTGGAAAGGATTGTGCCCTGCAAACTTTTGCTGGCTGCTGCCAAGAGCGCGCAGTGGCTGCTGTGTGGTGCTGGCTGAGGGACGGCGATGACTCATTTCACTGCAGCAGCACCAGGCAGCCCAAAACACAGCAACCCCGGCGCCTTCCCTCTCCTCCTCCCTCTCAGCTGGCAAAACAAGCTGAAGCTTTTACACCCCCAAATACTGGGTTTTAATTTATCCTTGAATTCCAGGATTAGCAGCACCTCCAGCACACAGGAAGGAGGGAAAAGCGAGTGCTGAAGGCTCCCCTGCATAACAAAAAATGACATTTTCCTCACTAGCACAACCCAATCCACTCTCAGTGCCTTTGTGCAGAAATGAGGAAATATGGACCTCATTTAAGGAAAAGGGACAAGGTTATATAGAGGTCATATTAAGGTTATATAAAAACTGTATTTCCTAAAATATTCAGGAAACACCTTATATTAAGGTTGTATTCCCTAAAATGTTCATTAAATACCTTATATTAAGGCTGTATTTCCTAAAATATTCACAAAATAACTTATCAAGGTGATATTAAAGGTGTATTTCCACAAGTATTCAGGAAAATGGCTTATATTATGGTGATAATAAGGCTGTATTTCCTAAAATATTCAGGAATTTTTTTATTATTATTATTTAAAACATACAGAGCTAAAGAGCTCACAGAATTTCCTGCCATGGGAAATGCCACTGGCTCCTGGCAGGATTTCCTGCTCCCTTCTCCCCTTATGCTTATTCTGAAATAATACTTCTCTCCAGTTAAGCACAAGCTGCTTCCCAACACGTTCTATCTCCTGTCAGTGTGGAGGCACCACATATAGAAAATTACGCATATATTGCATATTATTATGCAATAATTATGCAATAATTCCCTGGGTGAGGAATTGCTCTGGTGTGTGTGACAGATAAGCCGGACAGCACATGGGATCCAGCAATGCTCTCCATCCAGCACCTCTGCTTCCCTGCTTATTTTCACTGGAAAACGGAGCAGAGGCTTTCTAAAAGAACACCGATGGTGCTCGGGCTCTGGGTTGCACAGAGGTCTCGATGCACAGAGCAGTGCCAGCTCTGCTGGGAACCCCACGGCGCCTCTCACCCCAGCGGCTGCACCGAACACCCGTGTCCCTTCCTGCACCACACACCCACGGCCCCGATGGAACATCTATTTACGGCCTCCATGGAACATTTGCGGCCTCGAAGGATTTGCAGGAGCCCAGCAGCAGAGGCCGCAGGAGCCCGCGGCCCCCCGAGCCAAGGCTCGCCCTCCGCCGCCTCGCACGGGCCGGCAGCGCCCACAGCCCCGCGGCACCGCCGGCCCTCAGCGCTCCGCACACCGCCCGCGGCTCTCCCCGCCTCCCCTTCGCTTAGCTTCGCTTCCCTTTCTCCTTCCTCTTCTCTCCGCCTCCGCTTCCTTCCTTTCCTTTCCTTCTCTTCTCCTTTTCCCTCTTTCCTTTCCCCTTCCTCTCCCCGCCCCGCCCCGCCCGCCGAGCCCTGACCCGGTGCCTCCCGCGGGTGCCCCCGGCCCGGCCCTCACCGGGCACCAGCTGGAGGTGGTTCCCCATGTTATCTCGGGGCTCTCCGCCTCGGTCCTCGGCGGCCATCGCTGTTTACCCGGAGAGCAGGCTGGGAAGGCACCGGGGCGGGGGCAGGAGGCGGGCGGAGGAGGAGCCCGAGCCCGCCGGAGCCGGGCTGGGAGCCGCGGCTTCTGCCGGTGTGAGGGCTCCGTGCTCACCGCCGGGGCAGGGCCGGGAGCCGCGGCCTCTGCAGGAGTGAGGGCTCCGTGCTCACCGCCGGGGCAGGGCCGGGAGCCGCGGCCTCTGCCGGTGTGAGGGCTCCGTGCTCACCGCCTGGCAGGGCCGGGAGCCGCGGCCTCTGCCGGTGTGAGGGCTCCGTGCTCACTGTCGGGGTTCGCACCGATCGTGTGCCCGGGAAGGGACTGCCCTTCCCGCCTGGAGGGCTCGGGGGTGGCGGGGACAGAGGTTCTTCTGCCCACAGGGCACGGCCGTGGGTGACGAGGGTAGAGCCGCCCCGGGTGGCGGCGAGTCCCCAAAGCGCTTCATGGCCGGGCTGGGTGTGAATAAAATCTGCGGTGGGTTAAACCTCGCGGGTAAATGGCTTGAAAAGAAACTAAACCATTTGGTTTAAAGGTAAAAATCTATCAGCACAAGACTGACCTGGAGAAGGTGCAGCGAAAGGCCAGGGAGGTGCCGAGGGCACTGGAGCATCTCTGCTGTGAGGGAAGGCTGAGCTGGGCTTCTTGGACCCCGAGAAGAGATGGCTGGGAGGGGATTTTATGCGTGCACACACATTTTAGTAATTTAGTTATTAAATTGATTAGTTACAGTGCCAAGAGGATGGAGCTAGGCTCCTCTTGGTGGTGCCCAGCAATGGCACAAGAGGAGCAGGCAGAAACTGATGCCCAGAAGTTCCACCTGGACATGAGGAAAACCTTCCTCCCTGTGCAGTGAAACAGATGTTCAGACAATGTGGAGTCTTCCCTGGGGACATTCAGACCTGTCTGGACACAATTCCATGCCCTGTGCTCTTAAAACTTGCCAGCAGGGTCCTGTCCTGGTGTGAGGTTGGTGGCATCACCAGAAATGGTTCACGGGATGCAAACCTGGCTGATACCCCGAAAAGTTCACTGCAGCTGCCTCTGCTGCCCAAGTCTCACACAAACCCTCTGTCTCATCATTCATTAGCATTTCTTTCCCCCCTTAAAAACCCTCAAAAAAGCTGTATCGTGGCCCTGGGATTTCTCTCTAATAAAATGTTGTATTTTTATTGCTGAAATTTTTATTGCATTCTTTGTTACAAACCACTAAACCCATACGGTGCTCTTGAGCACTTCACAATTCCTTTATCTCAGCCCTGTTTGTTGTTTTCTTCCTAAAAAGGCTTTTGTTGTTATTCAGGGAAAAATTCTGCACTTTCTGCTTTTCTCTTCAGTGTCTCCCATTTCACTTCAGCAATAATATTCTCCCTGCATCAGCGACAGAGCAAACCCATGATTAGCCAGCAAGCAAAACACTAATTTTTATATTTTTTAAAATGAGAATTAAAGCAGTTTCGAGCACCACATTGAAAAGACAAATAGCAGTGTAATTTCCTTACCTCATGGGTAGAAAATTCCCAAACAGTCATTATCTATTCTGACCTGAATGGGCCTTTAGAGCAACAATCAATACCACATTTGCCAAATGAGCACGAACATGCCCGTGATGATACATTAAACATTTATAAAATACAATAATCACTTAAATGATTAAGTTATGATTCCATAACTTCTTCTGCATTCTTTCAGTGTAGCACACATAATTGCAGGGTATTGTATCTGATAATTCACCATAATAATAAAAAAAAAAATATTGTCCCGCTGGCCAACTAAAGAATAAAAAAATTATGAGCCCCTTCTCCAAACACTAGGATTTTATTAAGAAATATTATTATAAATATTTTAATTAATCTTATATGCTAAAATATTTTTATTTATCTTGTTTTTTTACTAAATTGCTGGGGGTATATTTGAGTCACACTTTTAAGCTCCACATCACCATCAGGACATTTACTAAATGCTTTAAGGTATAATTAATTTTGAGGGTTTTAAATTCAACCTGCTAGAAAACTCGTTTAACATATAAATATTTCTTATCGCAAAAAGTTTGAAGAGTCATTAATCTCACTCCCAGCACAAGGTGTTTTCCCAAACTCAGACTGGGAGAACTGGAAGTTGTTTCCTAGAGGGCCTTCATCCCCAAATTCATCTCCAGTGGCTGGCTGGGAATAGCTGCAAAGTTGTTCTTGGTTAACCATTGAGTAGTTTGGAGTCAGAGGATGTTAAATCACCTTTCCAGAAGAAAAAGAAACAAAGGGACAGGAATGTAAAGCATATTCAAATGCAGCTCTATTTAGAATTTAATTTAGTGTTAATTTATTCTCCATCCTCATCCATACTCGGGATGGGGAAAGCAGAGGATGGAGTGCTTGTTGCCTTATCACAGGTGCAGTTCTCAACACAAGGAGTTTGTAAACCACCCCCAGCCTCCTCTGGTCACCCACCACTGAACAGATCACCGCTCTACCAAAAATACAACTCTACCTCCCCAAAATATGCCATTTCTTATTTAACTTTTCTTCCCATTTTCCTGCTCCTGCATCCACTTCCTGACTACCCCCAGGAGGAAAGCTGTGTGACTGATGAGAAGATGAAATAAGAGGAACGAAGAGCAGCTCTGCTGACAAAATCTTCCCGTGTGAAATTCCAAAGCTCCTTTCCATCCCTCAGCTCCGTTTTCTCTCCACACTGGTTGAGAAAAGAAGTTGTCAATGTCTAAGCAGCCAGTGCACTCCCTCTTCCCCACCTACATCCTTGAATGAAGTGGAAAATTCAAAATTTCCCGATGTTGCCGGGAGCAGAGGCACTAGATGGTGCTGTGACATTCCCTTTTGCAGCTTTGCTCTGGCAGAATTATTCAGCTGGGCTGCTCCGCGAGCTTTGGGGCTTCTGTTTTTAGGGGATTCACTCCGAACAACGGAAAAGTTTGATATACAATATTACACTTTTAAAATAGGAGCTTTGTGTTTCTGACACGTGCTGGTTTTAGCGGGATGTTTAAAAAGAAGTCTGGATAGTCTAATTAAACTGGTAAAAGTTCTGTGCACTTGTGCCATTGATTTCTGCCCTGCCAATAAATTGGCTCATTGTCCACCCAAACCTGCTATTCCAGGCAGAACCAAGCAATCTCTCCAAGTATTCCAAAATAAAAAGTGACTCCCCACCTTTAGACAATTAATTAAACACTGACAGTAGAAAGCAGCTATAGGACAGAAAGGAAATCTGTACTTCAGACATGAAAAAAAACAGTTACAAAAAATACACGAAGCCACTTTCTTACCAATATCCAGGCAGCCCCAGCACTGAAGACACTTGTCATGTCCACATGGCCTTGGAAATTCCTGGCTTTCCTAGTGACCAGCTGGACTTGCTACTCCCTTTGTCACCACTTTGTTGCACAAATTAGGGAGACGTGTTACCTGCCAGTCCCCAGCAAACAGGGAAAAATTCCTTCTTTACCTGTTGAAGCAGGCCAGCTGCTGAGCTGCCAGCTCTGCACACACCAGTTACCAGCTGTGCCATCCCAAACCCACCAGGGCTGCCCATGTCAATGTCAAATGTACTCTAAGAGGGCACAAATCACGGAGGAAGGTGACTCCAAAAGCATAAAAATCAGAGATGAGCAGAACTTTTCTAAAATAAAAGAGCCTGGGCAACTGCAGGGCAGTCAGAGAGCAGGAGAGGACCAGTTTATCCCAGGAAGCTGACTGGCATCCCAGTGAGAACAGGGCATATTTACAATTCCTGTTCATATTTGCTGCCTGGGTCAGGCTGGTGACAAAGGAGCAGCTCTGAATATGCAGGAGGCCCCAGACAAAGGGCCCATTAGCCAAACGTGGCCATTACTATGCAGAGAGGCAAATTCTCCTGCCAGAGAAGCCTCGACAAGCAACAAAACTATTTGGCAACTGTGCAAAACCCATATTCCACACAAGTGACAGACAGCATGGCAGGGAAAGCAAATGGGGCTATAAACACAAATTTGGTTCAGTAAAGGGAAGGAAAAGTGAGGGGAAAACTCTGTAATACTTTGTGGAAGGGGACACCAAGGCAAAGAGATCCTTGAGGAATATTTCTGTAAATCCAGGGCTGCCAGACCCTGCTCCCAGATCACCTGAGATGTGCCTGTAGCTTTGAGGTGCAGGTTAGCAGAGACCTCCTGTATCCATTGCAAAGAAGATTGGCCAGAAATACGGGTTTGGTATTTCCTTTAACCTTTCTATCACATTTTCTTGTTAATGGGGTCCCAAAATTTTAACCAGCATAAACAAGAATGGTTCCAGTGAGTCTTACAAGCTGTAACACTGCTTTTTCCTTCTCCATTGTCCCTGCTGGGTCTGTCAGCAAGTTCAATGTATTTATAGCTCAATGTATATATAATTCTGGACATTATTTCCCAGGAAGATCCAAGTAGCCCTTTCTGAAGACGAGTTTATGCAGAGCTCACTGCAGTGAGCTCACTCAGTGCAAACAGTGTTGGTTTTATCCCTGTGTATATTACCCAACAAACTGTTCCCATATATTATGTAAAATCATGTAAATGGGTGTATATACATTTAGGTAGAGGCAGCTTGCTCATAAATCTCACTTCAGTTTAAAATACAGAGCACTAAGTATGAGTTAGAAATACTGTTTTTCTTCCACTGTGGATTTAGAGCAGGCTCTTTCCATTATCTATGCAGGAAAACCACTTGGAACTCAGGGAGCTTGAGAAGAGTTAATAAAGCCACATTTACAACAATATTTGCCTTAATCTTGGGAATTTATCCTGCAAGTTTGTCTTGGGGAGGAAGCCCAGTAACCTCTGCAGATGATGGCAGTGAAAAGCTCAGGGAGGGAAAGAACACCGAAAGGCTTGGAAATCAAGGCCTTTTTGGGTTTGTTCACATGATAACTTACTAAAGTTTAGTAGAGACTGAGCACACCATGTTTGCAGGCTGCTTAGTTAGGGTTCTCCATTTCTTGGGCTGAAAGATAACAATTGTTAACATCATTCCCCAGCTCTTTTTAATAGTGGCACTGAGTTTTGCATCACTCCACTCCAAAGCTGGGTGCACTGCA